CCTTAATTGGTTAAAATTATTAGATTGTTTAATTTTCGAGGTCAGCTAATAGTTTTTGGGGTTAAACTAATGGAAATCGTCAATCTGGACTTGAATTGCTAATTTTTGAAAGGTTTGGTAATCACAGTGGTATAAATTAAAAATTTGGGTAAAATCTGTTAATAAACGAAATATTTGGTACTTTGACTGCAATTTTCCCAATAACTTTGCTAGTTATCATTTAGGAGTCCGCAGTTTGAAATGTACACGAATTTCTAACCGTTGCTTTGTGATTTCGACATATTGAAAAAGCCATGAAAGATCACAAATCCCATGTGATGTATCTCATACAAAAAATGACGTGTCCGTACCATATCGCATAAAGATTTCTTATACTTGTCAAAGCATGTGAATGAAATCATAGCTCGTACGTACAACACAACAACATATATTTTGAGTAAATTATATAAATCTCCTCAAAGATATTTTTACAAGGAATCACTAAAAGACAGCACCTCATTTACTGCTTTTTCCATCTTCCAATGCATTTACGCCGTCTGTTATCTGCAAACAAGATCTGTCAAAGTTTTTTTTGTTTTTTTTTTAATACCCAGATATCTCATCTACGCCGGACTAAATCCTGAACCCCTAGCCACCGGCCTCTCAGTGACTAGCGGAGGTAAACCGTAGGTTGTGCCCTTGTTGGATCACAGGTTCCCACCCGATTGTTACTCCTGGCTTCAAGAGAAAGATCTGTCAAATTTACTTATACGCATAGCATGGTTCTTGGAAAAATTCCTCTTCCTCGTCGTGAATTCTTTTGTTTTATTTTTGTGGTTTTCAATTTAAATTTCTTTTAAAACTTAAACATAATATTAAATGAGACAGAAATATTCATTTTTAAATCTTTATCACACGTGGCTCCCGTCTTATCCTATTCTCATCCCAATTTCGAAAATCTCCAATGCAATAGGGATGGTGCTGACCTTCTCGACTCCTTCCTTTGTCATCCGTAGTTCGTATGGACATTTTAGACATTACCTCTAGGGCTGACAAAGGAGCCGAATTGCTCATGGTTTGGCTCAACCCATGAATGACTCAGGCTCATTAAGAGTCTAATTTTTTCACGAGCCAGCTTATGGGTCACTTCGAATCCAACGGCTAAATCTTGAATAATCAAGAAAAATGGTTGCATTTTTCGATACAAACTCCTTTCATTTTTTCGCAAATCTCTACATTCTCAATATACAATTATTATATCTCTTTATTAGCTCCTTCATTGTGCAATATACTAAAATTTTATTGTTTTTAAATTAAATTATTTGAGTTTTATTTCTGCCCAATTTAATTATTAATTGTATTATTCTATCTCTTTATTTCATAAATTATTCCAATTGAATTGCAACATATTGTTGAAAACTGGTGACATTAGATCTTTGGTGCTTCCGACATACTAGAAATTAGTCCGTTGCTAGATCACAATTTTATTCCAAATGATGTTCCAGTTCATGATGATTTGGATGATGATCAAAGGAATATGCATCGATTTGAACAATATTGAAGAAGATGATGAAAGAATTATAATAGGTTCAAGCGGTAAACAACGAATGATAAAATAAATAGCTAAGTGTCAGAAACATGTCAAATTGGTGGTCACAAATGCAGTAGTAGATGAGAAGTTAGAGCACAAAGTATAATGTAACTATTGGAAAGAGATTTTGGCTTGAAAATAGGATATCGGTACAACTCATTTATCATTTATAAATAAACTATAAAAGATGTAAGATTAAACATGGATATTTGAAAAGTAGTCAAGTTCAATTCAATTTGGGTCTTGTGGTGCAAGTTCTAGTTCCAAGTTCCAGTTTTAATCTTAACAAGGAAAATGCTATGAGTACATAATTATTGGTACACAGGGGTGTCCACCGTCTCACATGGGTGGGACCTGCTCGAATAAAATATTCGAATGGACCACATGCCATGTGAGAGGGTGAATACCCTTATGTACCAAAAATTATGTACAAGAATATTTATCATCTTAACAATTGAGTTATTTTGTTAGAGACAGGACATAACATTTATCATATATATATAGGCAATAGATATAACTCAACTTATATTATACTACATTTATTAAAATTTAATTATGGTTTATTACAACGACCAACACTTACATGGTCCAAAATATAATTTACAAGACCATGATCGACAAATTTAATAGAATGCGATAAAATTTTTGAAAGCTTTTGACAAGGCTATAAATGCATCATAGGACGCATGTTATTCCACTAGTCGACTCGTTGTTACTCATTTTTATCATATTGTTAATAACTTGAGCATGCACAAAAAAAATTCTCATTTTTTCTGATGTTGTAATAGCGATATAGACTAAGTTTACAAAATATTAGGATAAATATCATTAGAATTGTCTAGGTATTTTGCTCATGACATGCTTAGCATTTTAGACGTGGAAACAAATAAAATTCGACATACTTGGGTGGTGGAGAATGAATGAAAGTCAATATCCAATTGTATCTATTATAGCACGTGATCTACTATTATATCTTGGACCATGCTACATTCACTTAATGATTTACACAATCTTTTACACACACAACACGTGACGGCTCCCTATTGGAGGGGTGGCTGGCCGATTGTGTAAATCTTTGTGTACAAATAGTTTAATCCATTATATCTTATACTTATTGTAGCATCGGAGTCTGGCTTTAGTGCACGGGACAAAATTTTGACTGATCACATTTCAAGACTTTAGAAGACAAGATTTTAATTCAAAGGACTAGGAAGAAGCAGATCTCCAAATCTAAGATTAAGAATTAATAGCTAAGACTTACAAGTACCGCATTCAAAAGTATTGTATACGTTAATTCTTTAATTTTTTGACATTTTAGTAAAATTGTACACCTAATTTCTTATTTGCATAAAATTTTAATTTCCCTTACGTTAAAAATTGTCGATCCCAAACTTGAAAATAGAAAGAAGCTTTCACTTTTTATTAATTTATAAACTGAGCCGTTTCGACCCATTGTAACACTCAATTATTTATACTTAACATGAAAGAAAAATGGTAATGAGAAAGTATAATTTAATCAAACCACTAAATAAGTGAGATCTGTGAAATTTTTAAAAATGAACAGGGTGATTGGCAAATTTTCTGGGATGTCTGTAATTTGTCCTTTACGCTTTTTATTGCTTTATTGATAACCAATCGTGCTCCTCTCTCATTTAGCCCTTGTTTGAGCTCCATTTTTGGGGGAAAAAAATGAATTTTTGAATAGTGTATTAATGTGAAATATGTGATTAAAAAATAAGAAAAAAATTTAGATTTGCATGTAATATTATTTTATTGAAAAATGTGTGGTTGAAATAATGTTAAAACACTGTAGAAAAATACATTTTTCCCAAAGAATGGGATTCAAACAAGGGCTTAGTCTCGTTTGGTAGTAATTTTTCACCCAAGAAACTTAATTTTTTAACCATTATTTTATTATTTCAATCGTTATTTTTGACCACTTCACTTACATATAGGACCCACTATCAAAAAATTAATTTTCATAATTACTATTGAACAAATATGTGAGATTCACATATATGTGGTTATTTGTCAAGTTCATTGATAGGAAGAACAATGCACATCATGTCTTTGTTTGACTCTTATTTAAAAATAATTTTTTTTAAATTCATTTTCAACTACGTGCTTTATTAACATTTTAACTATTCATTTTATTAACTTTAATCAAAATCTACTCAAATATGATTTTTATTAAAAATAAACAGGTTCTCTAATTTACTTATAACTTATAAGTTTCTAAAATCCCAGGGCCACAAAATTTTAAAAAGAATAATATTATTTAATGGATGTTAATATAACATTAAGCTCTCATTTGAGTCACTTTATTGTAAAAATGAGAATGAAAAATATAGTCGTTACTGATCTTATATAAAAAATAAAAATTTAAATATAATGATTTGATGTGATGAATAATGATCATATTTTTTATTTTAATGAGAAAATAATGTGACTTAAAAGACCTTTCACTCAACGCCACCTTAAAAAACAGAAATAACATGGCAAGGGGCCTAATAGGATCCAGAACGGAGCGCTTAAAGTCTATGACATCGACTAGAATCACGTCAGTAGGACCCACAATTCAGAAGCGATAGGAAATCCAACGCCAAGCTGAGTCAGTATGGGTCCCACACTTTGGTAAGTATCTATTCAGAAGGTGACAGCAAATCCGTAGCTCAATACTCCCATTCTCGTGTTTACAGCTATTCCATTTCTTCTCTCTCTCTCTCTCTCTCTCTCTAAAATTAAAGGAATAAAATAAAACAAAATAGAGTCCAAGAGATATATATTCAAAAAGAGAGAGAGATTTTCAGGGAAGGACTTCATTGTTTCGAATTCTCAGGGAAGGACTCGCCGGCGGTTATAAATACTGCCATTTTTCCTAAACCAATATGATACCAACAATTTACATTTTCGCTCTCCAAATTTTTTATATTTTCTCTTTCTTTAATTATATTAATCAAAGAAAGGAGATTGAGGATGACTATCCTCATTGATCAGCCTCAATTTGGTAATTTTTCCCGAATTTTCCCTTAAATTTTTTTTTTCTAAATAATTATCTTTAAGTTTCGTTCAAAATATATATTATAATGTAACAAGTATATTTCACTTCAGATCTATATTTTCTTCAGTGCTTTTCCAACAAAATTTACCGAATTATGTAATATTTGGTGTTTCTTCAGCTCAGATCTATATTTTGAAGCGGAATATATATTACTATAATTTTACTAAATTATGTAATATTTGGTTTTGCTTCAGTTCAGATCTATATTTTGCAGCGGAATATATATTACTATAATTTTACTAATTTTTTTCATTTAATTTCGGTGACCTTGTTATCTATTTATTTATTTATTTATTATTATTATTATTATTATTAGAACTGCAGAACTTTGTTTACCAGATATTTGAATTTATTGCGATTTTGGGAAAACAGGGACTGAAGTGGGAGGAAAAAGGGTTCTCAATAATGAAAAGGAGTTGGAGGGTGACGAAGGATTTAGAATGCCCAATGCCAATTCTTTTGGCCACAATTTTAGGTTTATCCTCTTTTTTAATAATCATTTATAATGGATTTTATTGTTAATTTAGTAACAAGATTATTCGCTTCAACTACAAATTTGTTATTCATTAATTAATTTATGACATAATCAAGGCCGTTGACCAGTACATTGTGCAATGAATTTTGGACCCCAGATTGACAAGTTCATAGAAGCCACAAATATTGGAGAACAAAGAAACATTAATTAAGAACCAAACGACAAATTAATAATTTTAAAGCGAATTTAAATGGTTAAAATAAGTTGATTTAGATGTTTACTTAATTTTTGCATAAAGTGAATCGTTAAGGATTTAAATTTTCCCCTCAAGGGTTGTAGCCAGATCTCGAGTAATATATTAAAGTAAAATTTTGCCAAGATGGTAATTTTTATTTATTTATTTTTTATTGTAAAACAGGGATTATGAAGTTGAAAGTGAAAGGCAAGAAGGGGTGGAAATTTTCTATAGGACTAATCACATCAACCAGACATATGATTTTGTAAGTGACTTTGTGTAACCATATTTTTTATTTTATTTTCTTTCTTTATTTCCCTTCACTGGAATGGAGTTGTGAAAAAGGATTCATATGGATGATCTCGAATGTTTATATTATCGTCGTTGCAGGTGAAGAAGATGAGAGAAGAGTACATAAAATTGGACCGAGTGGAAATGAGCATATGGGAATGTTGTGAACTTTTGAACAACGTTGTTGATGAGAGTGATCCTGATTTGGACGAGCCTCAAATCGAGCACTTGTTACAAACTGCTGAAGCCATTAGGAAGGACTATCCTAACGAAGATTGGCTACACTTGACTGCCCTTATCCATGGTACGCTTTGTTTTAATTTTATTAAATCATAGTTGAAATTTGCGATAGTTTTGTTTAATAAATGCTAATTCATGTCAGTTCGTGTTGTTTCAGATCTTGGAAAGGTTCTTCTTCTTCCTAGCTTTGGTGAGCTTCCTCAATGGGCTGTTGTTGGTAAGCACTGCAATTGCAACCCGTGGCCGAGCCACAATTTTGACGAAATAATGTTGAAGGGACAAATTATATTTGTATTTTGCAAATACTATTATTATTATTATTTTTTTTTTTTAATTTTCTATATAAATTTGAAGAAAATTTCAAAATATTGCAGGCCCCACTTCTGATGAATTCAACTAGTACCTAGTGCATTGTCCCTTGTACACATCAGTCGCTGAGGACTAATATGTGATTTGTTGCTGCAGGTGACACTTACCCCGTTGGATGTGCTTTTGACGAATCAATCGTTCACAACAAGGTCTCTCCCCTTTAAATTTACGAAACTATAATAATTCTTGAATTATGTTACACTCTTTAAATTTTTTTTTCTTGGCGAGAATTTTGAAATTTGCTTTCTGATTATTGCTGCAGTACTTCAAGGAAAATCCCGACTACAAAATTCCTGCTTACAACACTAAATATGGAGTTTATAGCGAACGTTGTGGCCTTGACAAAGTGATGATGTCTTGGGGGCACGATGACTATATGTATTTGGTACATTTTCAAATCTTGGAAGAATATTGTTCATGACAAACGATTTTCACGAAATTTTTGCTATAATCCAGAGAGAGTTGAATTTTTATTACTGTTTTTCAGGTGGCGAAGGAGAATAAATCAACCTTACCTTCGGCCGGTCTTTTTGTGATCAGATACCATTCATTTTATGGTAAGCGAAGTACATAGCACGACAAGTTTGTGTTGATGGTGTATAATTCGTGTCAAACAAAATCAGAACAGCAAGAAATTATCAGAGGACAAGTTTGTGTTGACGAAATTATTATTTTTTTTTCCGCAGCTTTGCATAGGTCGGGAGCTTACAAGCACTTGATGAATGAGGAAGACAAGGAGAATCTGAAGTGGCTAAAGATTTTCAAGTACAGTCGATCATTCTTGTCAATACAAAGCCAATATTTTTAGCATTCAAAATTCCAAAAATGTACAAATATTTTATTTTCTAGATCACTTTGTGCAGCAAGTATGATTTATACAGCAAGAGCAAGGTTAGAATTGATGTCGAAAAGGTTAAGCCATATTATCTCTCTCTCATTGAAAAGGTTTGTGCAAATTTTCTAAATTTACTCGTCTGTCAGTAAATTTATAATTCACCTCCTCTGATTTTTGATATGTTTTATGCAGTACTTCCCTGAAAGGCTGAGGTGGTAAGGAGTTTGTGAAGGGTACGAGCGCCCATGTAGTCTCGAGATTTATGAGTTCTTAACTAGAAAACATTTGCATTGTAGCATATGTTTTCTAGTTGTTTGAATAATGTTTCTTCCATTGTATATGTTTGTTTTGCTAGATAATAAAATAATCGAAGTAATAATATCTGTTATTGTGTTTGAATCTACATGTTCAACAAATATTGGGTACTAGGCACGACTATTTTAATGCTCTATCGGTTCTAACTTATAAAAACTAAAGTTACTAATTTTTATCTATGAGTAATTACGTATAAATTGTACTTATTGTAAATCACTTTACGCTAGTTATATTTGAAAATTAGTCATTCTCGGGTCAAGAAGAGGCTGTCTTAACAAGTACATGGGCAAGAGAAAGTGAATTAGATAACAATATATTACAACTTAAATATGCAATAATTAACAAAAAATATTTAAATGTGCACCATATGGATTGTAAAAATTAAATGTGTCCTTTATGCTTCAATAAATTTTGCAATCTCATGAATTCAACGAAAATAATACTCTCTTGATTATGTAACTTGTTTAGCTCAACTGCATTGTTCACTGTAAAGTTACTAGTGACTATGTGGTGATTCGTACATATAGAGAGAAGTATATTGTGCGAGAGAGATCATTAAGCTTTTACAAAAAAATTTAAACATAGATTTATGTGTTTTATTACGAGCCTCCATGCCATATCCGTTGGATTGACCTATTGAACAGAGTTAGCTCAAGCATTAAGCGAGTTAGGCAAGCACCTAAGGTCCTCAACTTTTAAAATTATATATTTTTCTCTTTATTTTTGAAAACAAAAATTATGTTTCTAATTCATAACATTAAAAATAAGTTAAGGATTATGAACTGTTTCTGTGTTAGTACTAATAAAAACAAAAATAATTTAATAAATTTGATTTAACAAATTCAATAAACATATTTCTTAAAAGGAAAGTATAAAGATATATTTTAAATTTTTTGTCATTGTTTTATTAAAAAAAGAAAAAACACAAAAAGAATAAAATTTTTGAGTGATACCTATGGTTTCTCATTAGTGATTAAAGCGCTATCAGTAATTCTCGACAATATCATAGAGAACATTATTATCTGTATTGGCTGATGAAGGAGTGACGGTCATCACCAATCGATAATCCCATTTGAATAACAAGTATTCTTATTGTTGGCCATCATGGACTCCTCCTTGTGGATGACTATTTATCAAAAGGAAACAAATTCATTCAAGATATAACCTTACATCATCGAACAAAAAGAAAGAAAAAGCGTAACGCATATGATCAAATCCATGAAATATACTGCACCATGCATGCATTGCTTACGTCATTGAACCAAAGGCAAGTATATTTAACTCATATTATGAAATCCAAAAAATTAAATAAAATAAAAAATAAACTCGCTTCTATCCATTGAGTTATTAGAGAGCCTAAAACAGAGTCCCCCTGAGTATGGCATTCACGTCCACCAGGAGCAAGAATCTTCTCCAAATCGTAATGATCGTTTCAATCCAAGCAATCTCAATTCTGATGATATTGGCGTCGTTACTTGTTAATGAAGTCGTATTGATGTTCATTGTTAATTTTTGTCTCAATATATCAATTTCAATTAAAGTCAATCAATTATTATATCATTGATAATCATCAACGAAACTTCTGTCGGTGAGCATTTGCTCCATTAATTTATTTTTTTTAATTGTTTGAGTTGCATCTAATACAAAGGTAAACATAAATGCAATGACAACAAGATGGGATCCCAGCGAAGCCTAAGTGCCTGTTTGATTCCCTTTAATTCGAGAAAGAACGAGTTTTGAATAGCATTTTTTGAAGAATGTATGGTTAAAAAGTAAGAAATTTTTTTGAGAGAATAGATAAAATAATTTATTACGTGAATGTGTAGTTGAAAATTATCATGTAGAAAACCATAAAATAAAGTACCGAGAATCAAACAAATCCTAAATGTTAAAAAAAGAAAAAGAAAAGAGGAAGTTAAACAGTTAAAAGGTTAATATATTATAGTAATTAGGCAAATAGATTATAAATGAAAATAATTTCTATTCATGACTAATTATAATTATCTTCACACGCAATGGTAGCCACGATATTATCTATATCTATGACTCGAAGACATTGGCAAATTAGGTAAGAACAAATCCTCATGTTGAAAATTGACTTCCAAAGCGTATAAAATTTGCCAATTTGACCATCTTCTTCTACATTTACTCGCTTCCACGGCAACTTGTTGGCTCTGATTTCTTCATCTTAGTTTTTATTTTCTAACTTGCTGACAAAAGACGTCTATGTTGGAAAAATTCCATCGCAGAGGGCCACACATGTATATATATTAAAATGTGTGGTGTTATTTTTAAGGTTTAATTGATAAAGTGATCTACTGAGTTTAATTTTGGATTAATGAGTATTAATTATCATGTGATTAAAGTGTAAAGACTAGAATGATTATTTTAATTGATGAGGGACCAATTTAAAATTATTGAAAACTAATAATTGCAAATTACAGTTATTTAATATGGGGTCATGGTCCCCAATTGTACGTGAGCTTTCAAAACTCTTTACATCCCTATCAACAGAGAAGATTTCAAGAAGAAAATCACGTAACAGTTGAAAGATCAAAACCGGTTCAAGACACTCATATTTATGGATCAAGGTACGCTTCTGTATTTTTATTTTCTCGTTGATTTCAACATGGAGATTTATGAAAATATGTGAAAGGATTGATGAATTTGATTCTTTTCAATTTCCTACAGTGTAAGGATAATTTTTGTTGAACGTTGCATTTGAATGATGTTCGTAGATCATTGATCCATGTGTAATATGTTACAATATTGAAAAATTTACATCACACACACTAACTTGAGGTTGTATTTACAATTTCATATAACATTTTATATTTACATATTGCATACTGTATTTTTTTTTTATTGTTAACAAAACATAAAAATATTAACAAATTTGCTACTATAAATAATAATAAAAAATTCAAAATACCCTAATTGAAAATAACAAAGCACCATATACGTTACATTACGTAACACTTTACATGTAGTTCGTTTAAATATTTTATTATTTTTAAGAAATTAAATTGCTAGCTACTTGTGATGTTTAATTAAATGTTTTTTAAAATGGCTTTTTTAAATGTGAGGTTAACAAAATGCATGATCTTTATTTGCTTAAACTACTGTTACATTTTATCCAGCTGGTGGAAAGACCGTGAATAAATTATATAATGATAAGTAGAGTGTTGAATTCACAAGATCTTTTTATCTACGTATTTTACTTTAATTAAAACTAGCTCTAATTAGGAAAAAGTATACAATTAATTATTTTTAGTTGCTTCTAACTATATCTATATCAACTTATCTATTGAAATAAACAATTAATGGAAACAACAAATCTTGAAGTATTACCAAATCACGAAAGACACTAGAATTCTAAATTCACCTTTTTAATCTACTTTAATCCTTAAATTTTTATCTACGATCCAAGTATTTATAGATGAGAAGAGACAAAATGCAAGATAAAATTAGAATATCGCAAAAAGTTACAATGCTTAGAAGTATCTCCATCTCTTTTTTTTTTTTAGTATTGTTTATTATCATAGGATAATTTACACCAAATTTCTCGAAAGCATATTAAATTACACACGTGTTCCAATGGTGATCAAGCATAAAAATGGAATAAGGAAATAATAAATAATCTACAACCACAAGAAATTAACTAAAAATGAATAATTAATTAATTAAAGAGTTAGCAATGTTCATCTTTAATCCTAGCCTCGAGAGGTTTAACCTAGGGCTGTAAGCAAAAATCGTCAAATTGGAAAATTAAATCGAAATCGCATTTTAGAAATTGTCGATTTGGTGCCACATTAACCTGATCAATGAAATGATTTTGAACTAAACCAAACCGATCAAAATGGTTTGATTTAGGTTTAAGAATTTTAATTGCGGTTTAAAATTAAACTAGACCGGGGAAAAAATATAAAAAAATGAAAAAATAATTTTTTTTTAAAAATTCATCCAAATATGTAAAATTCAATAGTTTTATCATTTGTGGGCATTTTTGTCAATTTCTAATTTTATAATACAGATATATTATTATTATCCAATAATCCTAATTTATGTCTAATAATTTCAAGACTAATATAATCTATCAAAAACCCCATTCCTCTTCAAAATTCAGATAAACTCTAACCGACACCCAACACGGTTTTGAGTCACGGACACTATACACATCTTTTTCAGATTTTTCACACCTCTTCAAAATTGAATTGAAATCCATTATACAAAATTGGAGACAAAGAGATCCTAGACGTTCGGTGATAATATTTGCTACAAATAAAGTTTCAAATCAATAATTTTTTCGGAGTAAACTAAGGTAAGAATCTGAAATTAAATGCGTTTCGTAACATCATAAAAACGTAAACTTGTGTAATTGTTATGTTTATATATTATAAACAATTGCTTTATTATTGTGGTTGGTTATTCCCTTTTTCTAATCAGTATCATTTTTTCAGATATGATGATCACGAGATCTTGTTAGACATCATTATATTTTTTGGGCCTTATATCTAGTTTAGTAGACTTGTGTTGTATCGTCATTAGCCTAAAAAAAGTGAACAAAAATGAAAAAAAAATTATGTTTTAGTTTATTGTAATTTCACTTTGATTTAGTTGGTATGTAAATTTATAGTAAATATATTTAGCCCATAATTGAGCCATATTTTCCATATCATCATAATGAGAAAATTGACCATTGGAGAGGAGGTTGTGTCCTACACATGAAACAGCAGGTCAACAAAGGTGACTAAACTTGTGGGGTAACGGTCCAAATTTTCATTTTTTATTACCAAAAATTTAGTTCAAACAGGGGTTTAGTTTGTTTTAAATTTATTGCTAGTAAGATATAATATATATTGAAGTCAATGAATTAATAACATAAAATTAGATAGGCAAAATATATATATGGGGAAATCGACGGTTTAAACCAGACCAAATCGTTATGTTTAGGTTTGAGTCTTTTTCAAACCATTCAAAATGGTTTGGTTTATATTTGAATTTTTCTCAAATCAGTTTAAACGATTTGGTTTGAAAATCTGTAAAAAAAAAAAAGGTAAAATCGGACCGTTTACACCCCTAGTTTAATCTACAATGATTGGATCAAGAA